GTATTTTTCAATATTTGCTGCCTTTGTCTATTTTCGGTGTAGGTACTTAAACTTATAAAAAATAAATAATTATTATAAATATCTAATGAAATATATTATATTTAAAAAATTACTTAAAATTTGAATATTCATATAGGTAATTGAAATCACACTTAATTTATAAAATATAAAGAATATAGGTAATATTTAAAAAATAAATACAAGTTTAAAATAATAATAATAAACATATTAAATATATTAATTTGTAATTATATAATATAACAAAAATACTCAATCAGATAAATGATAACTGCATAAATTATATTATTTTAAGATTGGCCGGAGGTATTCTTTATGAGATCCTGAGATAGTATAAATAAATATCTATATTTTAATAATATCAATAATTATTTTGTTTAAGTACACCAACAGTTAATGTTGAAAAATATAATTTATGTGCCATTCCAATTCCCGGTACCTACTACGTACTACGTATTGGTTAGGGTAACAGGTTAATGAATTCCCAAAATGTTTAAAAGGCTATTTTATATAATTGGCGTAAGTATTAGGAATTTCCTATCGTTTCAATATGATTGTATCATGCAATTACGCAAACGCATACCTATCATAATATAATATATTGAATAATTGTGTGGCACGTGCCCGGGTACTTATTATTTTGGTAACTATAGACTAAAGAGTATAATCATATTATACTGTATATGTCGATAATATGCCTAACTGTCTAGGTAGATACCTAACCTATGCGTGTAATTATAGAGTCCAGGATTGCACCCACCCATTTTCATTGTAGATTCTGATCGGAGCTATGAGAATTATTGATTTTACAATGATTTTTGTATTTTTATTTGTTCTTCAAAGATTTCTGGTAGCAAAGTGGATCTAGTCGGCGTTCTAAGTTGTTATAAAAACATTTTTAGTGCGTACGAATTCGAACTTTACATATTATATAAATAATAAATACAGTTTGTACGTATTTACATATTGTAAATTTACCTATACGCAAATTACTGAGATACATTTTTTTTCGCTATATGTGCTTGGAGCCTTGGAATCCATCAATTGCACTTTTATCAATGTAAAGATAGTATGACAGAAGAAAAGTTACAGGGACAAAAAATTAAGTAACACACATTTTCGTAAAACTTTCAATCAAACATATTTTTATAATTATTTTATTTCATGATCATTTTCTAAGATGTCCCATAGACAATGACATTAATATATATAATAACTGTAGAGAGTGGATTTCTATACAATTGTATATACCTACTAATAAAGTGTTTTTAAAATTTATTACAGATATGTAATAGTATATATACACTACCTATATTTGTCACACCTCTGAGTTCACTGATCACACCAAAGGTAATGCAGGAATTAATGCAACAACCACACTATTCTAATAAAACAATTTCACGAAAGAAAAATGTATATGCGCCATGCAAGTATCTACCTTATACTATGAATTTAAAATTTAACCAAAAGTTTGTTTTGTAAGGACCGTGGTATAGATTTCAATGTGTGGTTGTGAAACAGATACACCGAGAATTTTTTAGGATTTTCTCTTTACCACCCGCAGGACGAAAAATGTTGTTTTCCAACGCTTCAATTGTCATCGAAAACTAAGCTCTCAGCGTGCAGGAGTGACAAAAAAAATATTTCATCAAAATGAAAATTCTAATAATACAGTTTTTCGACTTCGCACCTTTCGTTTATCGGTGAACTAATATCAATTTTAATATTTTTAACAGAAAATTAACTTTCTTGTTCAAATACTTGTAGAGCAATTTCAGTGAAAAACAATTTTATTTCACATTAAGTATCTACTTAATTAATTTGTTAAATGGTTTTTAAAATTATTAGTATGACTATAGAATATTAATAATTATCAAATAAGCAATCTAATTGAATATATTTTTGTTTAGGTAATATCGAGGGTATTATTATCTTTTTTTAATTGTTTGCATATTATATTTTGTTTATGGTTGTTCACGATTTTTATTACACATCATAATTATGGCATACATAATGTGATACTATTTTGCATAAAAATCCGTGTTCTATAATATAACACTGTACATACAATTATAATAACTCAGGCCTGAGACAGTCTGACAAATGACTACAAATATAATGGACAATAAATTTCGTTATAATTCGTAATTTGGATTATTTTTTTTATTTATTCATATCTTTATACCGCTAAATATAAAATAATATATTACACAGCACATATTTTCACTCCAGCCAAGTCAGCTGCACACAACGGGCACAATACTGTGAAATGTATTAACTTCATGACGGTACATTATAATATTATTTTTTAGTTGTATATTATCTATAATTGAAACCTGCACAGCTACAAGTGCGCCAGCTACAATAATAACTATGTGTAAAATGACACAGATGCGATCGGCAAATAACAAGACATTAAAAAGTAAAATCCACCGGTATCGTGTAAATACGAAAAAATTTCATTTTTACGCTCTGATGATAAATATAATATTATTTTAATAACATAATATAAGTATTCGTAGTATATTATATAGTAGATATACCATCTACATACATGGTATTATGGTAATAGTATATACCAGAACCTACAATTACATACATATTACTTTTATATTTTGATTTAACAAATATACCTAGGTAACTAAAGTTATTTTTGGAACTATAATACATACTTATACTTACAATTTGAACTTAATCGACTCATATATGGTTCGAAATGTTTAAAAAAGATAAATATTTTCTTATTATGTTATGAAAAGCCAAGGAATGTAGACCACGTGAACGTGAAATTATACTACAAAGAGAATAATATCGTGTTGGAAATTCGTGTTTTGAAATACAAAACATATTCATTGATACAACGCTGAGGTACAACGAACTATATGTATCAATTTACTTTTGATCTCAAAAGTAAATCTTAGTTCACGATCTCTAATATTTACTATAGCTGGTGCAACTAGTCTATTAAATTGATCTAAAAGGTTTAAAAGTGCATTTTAAAATTATAATATAAAAAAAAAACCTATGCCATCAACTATAGATAATTTAACAAATTTTAACATTTTGTATGATGGTATGGCGTCGTCTTATAAACAACTGTGAAATGAAATATATACATGTACGCTGTACTTGAATGCAATCAAAATTAGAGGATTATATGCATCATCAGTTTTAAAATAATATACGAAATTACACAAAATACACTAAAAACAACTTTGCAATACTGCATGATTATGGCTTGAAAACCTAATACTAAAAGAAAAACTATAAAAAAAATAGTACTACCAAAATGTTATTTTATTTACCATATTTTTTTAGGTATAGCTTTAACTCTATACGTAAATACATATACTAAATAGGTATAATATATTATTATGTATTATACCTATATTTATGAATAATTTCTCAGACTTCTGCAGAACATGTTTATTTTAGTACAAATGTACAATGTGTCGGTTTTTATTTGGAAAGCTATCAACAATAATCCGTATCCTTATTATTTATTTTATTCACCAAATCTTTCTAAATATTTATAATAGAAAGATAATTGAATAAATTTTGAAACCTCATATAGTCTGCAGATCGCATTCATGTCATTTTTTTGCATATAACAGAAAGAGAGCACTCACAGGTTGCGTGGCCGAGCTTTACGTAATTTTAACTGTTAAACCTATCTGTAGAAGCTTATAAATATTTGAATAAATCGTAAACACTGCAAAATTCAAATCCTCCGAGAATATAACGTTTTTTTTCCGTTTAAAAAATTACTTATTATTAAAAAGTCATAAAATAAATATATGGCTATGAGGCTCAGGCTATATTATTGCTATTCCAATTATACAATTATTATTTGTAGTATGAAATTAGTAAGTATGTTGATATTGTAATAATAGCCAATTATTATGCGTATCTGTAGATAAAGTCTTTCAAAGAATTTAATTGATTAAAATTAATTGTACAAAAATCAGGGCGTTTTCGAAGCCGAGGGTGCGCTAGTAAATTCAAAAAATCTTGAAAATGTATCAACTCAATTTAAAATATAGTATTTAACTTATATATTGGTCAATGATAAGTTTGCTTTTTTCAAAGTTCAGTTAAAAAATAATTGTCTTTAATTAGTTAAGAATAGTTTATATAAATATAATATATTACGTATTTTTATCGAAACTAGAACTGCGCGACGAGGATGACTGCAATACTGATAAGCAAACGCTATGCTTTAATAATCATGATCGACCAAAGTTATCAACAAGTCATTAAAATCGATGGTACACATTTATTTTTCAGCAAGAAATATTTGTTTGTACCTAATACATTTTAATTTAAAAATTGTTATAAAATAATATTTTGAAAATTATAAGGCATTTAGGCACCTTATATTTTTAAGAGCCAGGGGACTTAGACCTCTACTTAAAACAACAAATTTGGGGGGGGGGCTTGAGCCTCTCAATTTTCGATTGTGTATTTCAGTAGGGGGCCCTTATTATGTTGTCATCAGCTCACGTCCGCATATCGTTAAACGCGGTTGCTACGCGTGGGAAATGACGAATATTAATTATTGTCTATATCAATTCTAAAGCGATTAAGGCTGTAATATAAATATATCATACGAATCCATAATATCACACACCTATACATACACGTGAAAACCAAAAGATCGTTTGGGCGCATCCGAAAAAAATCTGTTTTATAGGCCACAGTGTCACGGAACCGGTTCCGAATCGAACGTCCGGCACGATGCTTGACCCAGATAAATGCGCGCGCGTATGTATATATAAAATTATATTATGTATCTAAAATATCCATAAAATAATAATAATCATAATAGTCGTACATCGTAGGTACCTACAGTATATATTATAATATTGTGTATCTCTACTCACACGTCATTTTGTAGCGGCGGCGGCTGCGTCGTAAGACAAGTACCAACACGCGCCGGTTTCGGATGAAAGGTTTTAATGCACACACGCATACACATATATATTTGTTTATATATGTATTATGATAATATACGATGTAGTCGTTCTGCCGGACGAGCGTCTTCAGTCGACCGGTGAACGTTCGAAAGACACTATCCTAGGTAGCTGTATCGTCGTGCACCCACGCTTAATAATCACACACTCCGCTCGTGTATACCTACCTGCGATGCGTTTGGCGTCTGAACACATCACACGGCACAAGTCTTAACGGATTCCTTGGTTTTATTATCAGCGACGGTCGTATATCGTTCAGATAATTTTTTTTTTGTTTTTTGAGGGGGGTTTTTATCTGCCGAGACAAAACGAACTTTTTTCGCGAAGAGATTTTTCTGTATCGTTTTTGGCATTCATGCGATTGTGAACAAAATGACACAACTGTAAGTATATACAACATCATAAGCTATATCATAATATTATAATATTAATATCCATAAATATACTTGAGTATATTACTACTTGTATACAAATATACCGGTGCTTATTTACGCATAATTTGATATCTGCGTGATATAGTACAATAGTATATACTTTATTGTAATGGCCAGAATTTTGATTTAATTACATAGTTACATTTTTCAATTGATAATTCAAAATAATTATTATTGTTCCCATATAAATTTAAAACAATCGAAAATACATGAAATGCACAACTTTTTTTATACGCTCTTGTACTTTTAAAGTTTGAAAAATCTTAAAAATGTACCAATTCTTTTGTAGTAATAAATTCATTTCAACGAAATTAGATAATTAAACGGATATATAAAAATAACGAAATTTCTTTTGAACGATTTTAGTAATTATGTTGAAATGTATAAGATACAAACTGTATAGTTTTTGTACCTCAGTCGCGACAAGGCGTTTAAAATTTCTCAAATAATAACAATTACAAAAACAAAAATGCATAAAAATATTAATACCTTCCAACAAATTATTATTATTTTTGAAAATTAAGTCAATTTAATATGTATATATATATATGTGTATGTTAAGAACTGTGTACGTATGTTTTCAAATGCTTAAATTAGTTTTTGTAAATTGTTTTCATGATTATAACCGTTTTATGAAATGCACGAGTTCGTATTTATGTTTATTTCGGATTTTTGTTCGAAATGTTAAATTAAAAATATTATGTATTTTAACCGTAGGTAATTTTTACAATAAAAATTATTTGATAATTTAACTCAACGTTTCAAACGATGGTTTGTTTGTTATTTTTATAAGTTATATAAGTTAAAACATATTGGACAATGCGCGTCTGCGCGTCTTTCACTGCATGTCTTTCGTACATAATGAGAATAATATAATTTAATTTTTATCACATGTTATTTTAATTTAATATGCGTAAACTATGAACACCTCGACAACACAGATTACTTTGTAAAACATATTTATTTTCCTACGACGATATATAATTACGGATAAATGAATATAGATAATATAATTTTCAATTGGATAGAAATTAGAGGGAAAAAAATAATTGTTTTTATAAGGTTTTTACGATCCAAATTATTTTTATGGGGTTGTGGTATAATAAAAGTCATATTTATTCATTTTATATAGCCAAATGATTGGAAATTGGATGTATATCGATTATAGACCATGCTTGGCTTAAAACAATTTATTTTGAAATGTCTTAATTTATCTTATCATTACTAAACTGTTGATGAGAATCGATATTTAATAATCTAATAATTATGTCTTTTAGAGATTTTCTCAAAGTACATTTAAAATGCATGTATTATAATTAAATTACATAAAACATTTGTACCTATTTGAATGCATACTAATTATAATCCTAGTTATCTTTTTTATCAACGAACACTCATTATTTCAAAGTTATAAAATTTTCAACTTTAGATGATCTGAAAGTGGTGGACCATTATCTTGAGGAGTACATGCCCCTGTGTCACTCAATACTTTCAATGCTTAGGTAAACTACTATAACTCATGAAAAATTCTTCTAAAATTCGATTATTTATGTATTACCGCAATGCTCGGAAAAATATTCTGCTTTGGTAAGAATTTAAAAAATATAATTTTTTTTCAAAAATCTTCTTTTGTAATGTTATGTGAAAGTTGAAATTTAAATTAAATCTTTAATAGTTTTTAAAGTGCCTAATGAGTGTTCTCTTGATAAAGGAATCACCTGGTACACATCATATTGTTAAGTGTTTATTTATTTATTTATTTATTTATTGAATAAACGGGCGTGAGCCCAGGTTAAAATAATTAAAAGTGTTAAACAACCATCTTTTTAAATTCAAACAATGAATTTAATTATAAAAACATTTGTACCTATATTATAATGTTAAAGTTCAGCTTTTTAAAGTTTTTAGTTGTACAATGATGCGGAGTGCACCCACACACTTTCTTCTTTTTTTAGATTTATTGTTTTTTTTTCAAATGGTTCATCATTAATTGAAGAACGTGGTTATTACTTTTTAAATATAGTAGTTTATTAGTAAGACATAATAATGTCATCTACAAGTTTTTATATACATATAATACATAATAGGTAGGTACATAATAAACAATATTATAATTAATTAATATATTATAATTTGTATTCATTATTTATTATTATATTATATAATATATTTTTATTGGTATCTACTGTTCTACTTATATTTCATGATAGTATTTAAATCAATATCTACAATATTCATTTCTAAAATTCTACATAATATAACCTATATTGCGCCATGAGGGGCATATTTAAGAGTTGTCTTGTGTTTCATATTAAATAGTGTCATAAGTATCATATTTCGTCTGTATAGGCATATCTGAAAATGTACCTATATCAAGTTACATTTAGTGGAACTTAGAGGTATATCGAGTATATTATAAATGTATAAGTACCTACATATTCGTAAATTATTGTAAATGTATATTAGTAATTACTAATTTAAGTTCTACACAAGCTCAACGCCCTCATTCTGATGTGCAGATATAAATGATAAATAGTAGGTACTGTTCGGTATGATAGGGATGCAAGGACACGGGATATACAATTTTTTTGGTCCTATCATTTCTTTACAATGTCTGGACATTGTAGGAAATATTGGAGTTACAAAATTATCATTTTCACATTTCCGGAATTTTCTATTTTGCCCGTAAGTCGTAACATACGCACACGTCACATATTAATAATTTATAAATTGTTTAACAAGCTTAAACTTTACTTAATATCTGTCTAGTTGGTATTAACATATTAATGATATATAAGGCCACTGGTGGGGTCCAAACTTAGGACTGTTATATATCATAATATGTCATAAACATATTATAATTTTGACATTTTAACCCAAAATGTTTCTGATTTCGGCAAATAAGCAAAAAAAAAAGTCGGAGACATTGTCGAAATATATTATAATATCCCATATCCCATACAACAATATGGCATAATATGCAAGTCTAGCATACCTTGAGGGTGACTGCAGTTTGCAGTTCGCAGTTATCATACAAGAATATGGTATTCTAATCACATGACAAAACGGATTCTGTTCATTAACAAGTAGTTATTTGTAACTATATTCTAAACAGATTCTGATTTTTTAATATTTGTTTTTTTAATTGAAATGCCAATTAACATTTATATTTTTATTATAAACCAAACACTTTTTTGAATATTAAAAACTATTTGTAGATTAAAACAAAGTAAAGTTGATTATCAATCAAAATCTGATTTATAAATTAAAGTCTGTTATGCCAAAGTTCTACAGTATTGTCAGGATCCGAGAGATCGATCGATTTTCTTATATTAATGTAATTCAAAAACTGATATAATAATAATAATAATCTTTATTACGGAAATCAACTCCATTTACAATAATAATATTTATTATAATTATAACAGTATAGGTATATTATAATAATTAATAAATAGCTTATACTACAAAAAAATAAAAATAACACTTGTATTAACTACTTATATGGGTTATAATAATTCTTTACATTTTATATACTCGTAACAAAAGCTAACCGTAAGACACTAACCGAAAGTTTCTTCGAAATTTACTCTCCAACTTTACTATCCCAACTTTCCATCAATATTCGGGCGCTCAAGCCACCCGTCGTAATGCCCCTTTCTACATATACTAAGGTCTCATTCTAACTATTCTAACCAACCAATCCATCGATGTGTACAAATAGCATATAAGTTAATAAATATTAAATACCTATAAATTATATTTCATTAGTAGCAATTAAAATAAAATACATACTAATAGTAGTATAAGTCACCGCTTGGAATTGTTTTTCGGATGCAATTCGTTTTTCGTATATGATTTATCATTGAATTCAAATTTAACACATTCATTACAGTGACCTACTCAATGACGAGGTACCCTCGACTCCTACTGAACAACAGAGCGGTTACCTACTTGCCCACTTTTTACTATTACGTTTATTTTATAATATTTGTCATGGATATATTTTTTAAAGTTCGAAAAAATTCAAAAGTTCTACTTAGAACTTAAGTTTAAAAAAAGTTCTTGAAAAATATTAAGTTTGAGTAGTTGAAAATGTAAGTTTGACTCGTAGCTAAAATAAACCATGTACGCATACGGGTAGTGATAAGATTTCCAGAACTGACACACTAATGTTCATATTTCATATTTTTTATACCTTATCCTAATGTCAACTTTCATGTCACCAAAATACCGTCATATTATTATACATTTACCTATACTTTTCTCTTTATAACACGGCTGACTGCAATAAACCTATAGAACACATTATGTAGAACGTATCCGGGTAACAAGCTGGCTCTAATAATAGTCTGATTTTCAAAGTTAATTTTAAATTAAATTATGAATTACCAACTTCGTCATGTTTGAATTGTACAAATTATTGTAGGATTAAAATTGGGAATTTAAAAAATGATAGAAAAATGCATTTAAGAAAATAAGAACTCAGTAAATTAACATAATATGTTTTAATATAAACTTTTGGAAAAATAAATAAGATTACGAATGGATCAAAATCCTAAATTTTATACTCCAGACATTTTAGAAAATAATAAAGTATAAATAATTATACTTCAAAGTTGACAATTATATTTTTTTGTAACAGCGATGCTGCGATACACGTTAAAAATAAACAATCATCTGATATTTTGGCAACCATACGAAATACGTGTACCTACAAGATAAACAAATTTTACTGTCGGAACAAACGTTTAAGGTTTAAATAATGCGTCGTCATCGGCAAAAATTGTATAGATTAAAATTATACTTCATTAGGCTTGTAATGAGTGGCTTGGCTGAATCATAACGATATAAACGACAATTACTAATTAGTTAGATTTCTATTGATTTCTATTGTGCACGCGTGTGACGGATTTTATTCACTGAAAATCATGTGTTATATTATTATATACCTATGCCCACCTACTACAGCGCAATACTACTCCACTTAAACGATTTATCTATGGTGTAGATATATATTGTATTTTTTAATAAATACATTATTTACATACACGAATAATTAGGTACTTCCGTTTCAGCTAGGTCATCGTGAAACATTGTATACAATTGCTGTAAGACGCACGGCCAGACCACGATCGTATATTAATTATTTAATAATAATAATTCGGGCAGCACGATCTATATTATTATAATTATTTGGAAATTAGAAAAAAAACGAATTGTGAAATTTAAATTATGAATAACTATTATTATAGAAATAATATTTATTTTGGTGGCTTGGTGAGGAGCGGTCGTACGCTCAATCTGTGGCAACGCTCTGTGCGTATACAATATATCGACCGTCGTTGCTACTTGCTAGAACTCGGATGGGTGACCACTCGGGTTTTTTAGCAACACATCCTTGCCACACATACAAATACGTGTTTCAAATCAACCGTTTCCCCCTATAATTAGCTAATAGCCATAGCCGGGATTTAGATGAATAAAAAAAAATATATATATATATTCATTTTAAATATCACTTTATTTAGGACCAATCATACCTAATTATTTATTTGTTTATATGAGAAGAATTAATTTTAAAATGATTATCCAATGAATAATATTTAAATAATTTTAATTTTATATTAAATATTATTATTGTTGTTGTATATATATTGTCTAAACAACAGAAATAATTTACGCGTTTTTTATTCTAGTGTTATTAAGTGTTCAGTTTCTGTAAGTGTATAGTTTTGAATTTAGTATTTAAATACCATTTATGCAAAATACTCGGGCACTCATTCGAATCAATGTTAAGTTGTGCACTCGTATACACGTTTTGTCGTTGGTACCAATGTACCATATGGTATTTTGTACGTTCACTTAGTACGTGTTCTAGATTAGTGTGCCACAATAATAGTAATAAATACATATAATTTTATAGTAAAATAAAGATCGCAACTGGGTGATAAACAAATATTGTAGTTTGAATGTTGGATATAAGTAGGTTTTTTGGTTGAAGCATCCAGAGTTTTATATTAATGTTTGATTTATTAACACCAAAGTGAATTGTACTTACGCGTTACCTAATAATGCGATATCATCGATACCACGGTGAGTGCGTATGAAATACATCGATCGAATATGACGACTTATTGAGAACTGTTTTGCTTTTAAATTAAAATCGAAATTGGTGCTTAATCACATCCTCTACATCACAGAAATCGGCCGACGTGCAAAACCGGGCTTAACCGGACGGGAAACTTTTGTGGTAATAATATCAGTTTTCGCGTTTCGAGTTCGATCGATTCGTAGTAGTCTGTTTTCCTTTCTATTCGTGTTGGATTGATGCCAAACCGAAAAAATTTGTTGGATTTAGAACAAACTGAATCAAACGGGTTTCGCCGTGCATTTCCTGTGCACGTCATCCAATAAAAGATTTCACTCGCCGGTTGGCCTAATAACATTACGTGCAAAAATAACATAAATATATAGTCACCGAGTCAGATCTAAAATCGAATGGTATAGAAAGAGTAAAAATGAAAACGAAAATATTCGCAGTATTTGCAGCGAATACAAAACTATATAATAACAACGATGTATTTTTTTTTCTTCGCGTATCTTAAACCAATACACCATGCCAAGCCTAACCTATACTCATTGAGAATGCATTTAATTTATTGACTATTACATATATCTGCTTGATATACCTAGATATACGTCCTATAAACTCGCAAATTGCAATATTAGCGCATACATGTATATAAGTATAACTACAGTATATTACCAACACATTTGCACGTATCGATCGAACATTTTCATAACACCTACATGACGTAAATGTCCTCTAAAACGTTAATAAAAAATAAAAATTGAAATATTTACCTGTTTCATTACCGCCATTGTTTTTCCTTTCGAGAATTAACCAATTAATTCACTGAACAACGATCACAAACAAATTAAAGATCAAAGAATTGAAAAACGGGCAACGGCAAAAGCTGAAAAACCAATAGTCAATAGTGAAGACTGAGTACCTAGTGAGCAATCATCACTCGTCGGCGATCGTTGTCGCCAGCCCTATCGCTCACCATCGGTGGTGGCATTTTTAAATATACCTCTGATGAAAACGGTCTATGGCGTATAAACCCCAGATAAAATATGATATCGCAGGAATATCATCGCATTAGTGTTTATTCGTGACATGACCGGGGAAATCATTTTACAGATGTGTAAGCGATATTATTCGTCGACATAAAAACTATTATTAATTTTAAACGATTGTGAGATATCGCATACATATTCGACATGGGGGCAACTTTATGGTACTTCCATTGCACACTGGGCATATATACGTGATACTCATATATATATATATATATATATATATTATGAGCCGTAAGCCCATCTTTATCGACAATGTTATCGATTAATAAATTAGTTCCGGATCTAATATTCAAGCTTTCGACCTAGGTATCTTTAAACCGTAAGAATGCGGAATCTCTATTAATATATTTAAGCCAACTTGGAAACAGATACCAAGGCATATCAATTTAATTTATTGTTATAAATTTTAACTTCACGATAGGCAGACTATATTATTGGCTATTATTGATTTATAAATATTTTGGTTTTATTATTTTCATAAGCATAACTATTGTAATAATAATCATCATTATTATCAAACAGATCTACATAATATTATAATGCGACTCTATTATTGACTATGCAATCATGTTATTTTTTTGACTTATTATATTTTGAATTATTATAACTATATATGATTAAATATTTTTGTATAATACACTAGCTCAAAATTGAAAAAGGCAACATTTCGATTTCTTTTGATTCGCAGACAATTTTGCTCAATCGTGTCGCAAAAAAAGGTGTTTTATGCTCAATCTTGTCTCTGCCGTTCGTAAATAGGTACTGTAATAGGTACAATTTGATTAAGGTACTTTCATACACGGTTCAAGAAATCAACGGTTTACAATTTTTACAACCAGTTATGGCTATTGAAAGATTAAAAACGTCATATTTTTTGACCGAACGATTGAGAACACAAATAACTAAAAACTATAACTATTAACTATAACTAACCACTTATCTATGAAATTAATACGATTGAGAATCGATTAACGTGCATGCAAGTTTCCATATAATTTATTTAGATATCGAACGATTTAGTACGTTACATACTTAATATATAGGAGGTTGCATTATTTTAAATTAAGCATTTAAGTAAGTGACGAAAAATAATAAGTCATGAGGCTCTCGGGGACTCTGTAAGGCAATTACATAGCAATTTTGTATCTATGTATCATGTAATTATAACTAATTATTTTTGTATGATACTAATTCAAGAACACTTTTTGAGCTCGACGACCAAAAAGAAAATAACAAAATGAGTTTTTTTTTTATGATTAGTTGATAAACACCGTACATCGTACAATCAACAATTAATTTTATTACTATTTCGATTTAACCCACTTTGTCGAATTCGCCGACAACTCAGTTTGCCGAAAAATATTCCAGTTTTAAAATATTTTTAATATTATTTTATAAATATAGTTACAATTTTCCCCATTCGTTGACAGGTGACAATAATTGTATCAACAACTGGTATAACAGTGATAATATTATGGTATGTTGTCGATATAAGTTCAAAGGTACTATTTTTATAAGGGTACTATACTACTATAGGTACTAATTGAGATTAGCTATACAACATATATAAAAAGAACTTAAAATAAACAAAAATTAGTCTAAACACACAAAATGAACGTAATATTTGTAAAAATGAGTTTAAAAATGAAATGAAATGCATTTAACACAAGAAATGCAAAAATGCAAAATAAAAATGACACATTCTAAATATATCACGTAACAAATTTAGTTTTTGGTTAGAACTGTATAGCACTTAAAGAAAAAAAAATGCAAAATCCTAGCTCTAATTATTATTACTATTAATATATTACCTACGTTTTCTGTTTTCATTTTTTATATAAAAAATTTAAGTTTTTTTTAAAATTGAAAATGTGTTTTTATAAAAATAAAATTTTTTATTATTATTGTGTTTCACTATATATCTAATGTTGGCATTTTACGCAGAATTATATGGTTTTCCTATAAAAACTTACAGGTATCCCGCTTTAAAGGAAAAAACAGTTATGGTCACATTAGCTAATAATATGTTATTTACATTAGCTATAATATGCCAATTCCTGGATAATGTAACTCGTAAGTCAACATTTCTAAATATTTAAATATTAAATATTTAAATACTAGGTACATTTTTTTATCACGTATTATATTTATTTTAAATGTTAACTATTTTGTATTTTTATTTTTTCGGCAATTCTTTTATACCTTGTTCTATAACGGTTATAGAAGCTCGCATAAAGTCTAAAAACGTATCTTTGACTCTTCGTGACTTAAAAATCGTTGACAAAAAAAAAAACGACTGTAGCCGCTTTTCCTACTTTAGATATCAAACTTTTTGTATGCATTTCAAAGTTGATTTTGTTATTTATCTATATGCCGTCAGTGTTTCAAATATAAAAATATTAGATATATATATGCATCAACGTTGGCAAAAAAAATAGTATAAATTGAATTTTTTCAAACTTATACATAACTAAAAATTCCGTTCTCAGTCCTATTATACCAGAAATTATTCTATGTAAATGGGCTAACCTAAGTATTATGGGTATAGTAATGTTCACACAGAGCCACCTTTGCTGTCGGAAATAAGGGAAGAAAAATAAAAAGTTTAAGCTATGGGTGGGGTTTTCACCCTAAGTCCTAAACATTTCTGCGCCTTTTGCGATCGTCCATGTCTCCAACATCTAGCTTTCATATTAACAGTGTGTGGTGTTAATGAAAAAAAATATTAAAATATGTATAACACCCAATGTTTCTCTAAATATCTGATAGGCATATGTATGAAATGAAATCGGAAACGAAGATTTATACTGACGTTGGAATAATAATATATGCGGTACGAACAGGTGTTTGGCACTTCAATAGTTCAATTACATAAATGTTTTTACGATTTTTAAATGCAATGCACCTAGTCATGACTCATTAGTCACTGTGTATTAATTTATGCGTATATAAACCATTTCGTCGTCTGCTATGTGTGTGTTCGATTTATCGATAGTTTCGCTTGTTAGTTCGACGTGCCTATATAGGTATTGCGAGTCGGAGGTGTTTTACGTCTCTGCGGATGATTAGATTGATTCCAATAGAGAGGATAAAAATGTTCAAAAATAGAATACGATCGCTATGCCCACGGGACGAAATCCGTGTGAACCCGTCACGAGTTATATATTGGTGTACCCGGTCTGTTGTGGTGGGACTTTAATAACGGCGAAATGAAAATTAGGTATAGGTACTAAAACCGTGTTGTAAGCTTGTAACCGCGGGATATTCTGTATAAAATTTGTAAAATATGATGTATATTATTATGTAGGTACCACATTGAACTGCTCGCCTAAACGTAATTTTAGGCAAACGCGAATTCTTTATTTGCATACATACCTAATTATAACGGCACAGCTGTTAATGATGGGTATTCGAATATTATAATTGTATGAAGGTAGAACTGGCAGTATTGTACTCGCAGTATTCACCTATATAATGTACCTACTGCAGCTGTACTAGCCGAACGCTATATTTATGGCAATTTCAATTTATATTGCTCTTTGTTTTTTTTTTTTACAACATTTACTGCGGTCGAATCACGACTAGATTCTGAATTTCCCGGGAATCGCATTACATTTTGTTTACTATAAAAAAATAAACTGAGTCGATACATAGGTAATCGCTTTTAATTCTCAACTACGGTTGATTATAGTATGGTTATAATTGAGCACATTATGTATTGTTATCCATATCTTGAATGTACGCATTACGCGCTCGGAACTGTTATTATAATTATACAAATAATTAACACGTTATAATATTAGTTTCGTAACGTATCAAGTATACACGTTAAAAAGTACGGCATGAAGGGCAAGGGCTAACGGGTTTCAAAGTTATTTATGTATTTGGTTCTTCCATCTATAAATTATAATAGTACCTACCTATACGAATACGGCTATACAACGTATGCATATATATGTATTTATAAGTTTATCATAACAAATTAAATGTGTACCTACTCAAAAAATTTCCCGCCCGCGTATGGCGTATGTGATACTTTCCGAATATAATTATACAATACATACGTCATACTATAAACCTACCGATAGATTATCGGGTATCCCGACAATCGAGCGAAAGAAAAAGAGCGAACGTAAATGAGCGAATTAAAATATGAGCAAATAAAAATAAGAACCAGAGCATATAGAGCGAAAAAATATATGTGTGTACAATGTGAAACGACAGTGAAATATTTTAGGATTCGAAAAGTCCGCGATAACGATTCGATAAGAGTACATTTATGATCATTTGTCTTATCTGAGTCATTGTCGTCGTACCTGTATGTTGAATTTATAGAGGCTTCAATTGTCTATTAGGGTAGTGTAATCCAACAATTTGGAAGTTCATAAAAGCCCTTCAAAATCAACAGACTTTAGTGGATATGCGGTTACATCAAATTAATAGTGGCATTCGTTCGTCCAATAAAAAAAAAATATATAATGCTTCTGCCAAAAAATAAAAAAATATTGTTGACGATTATTCTAATATTCCTACACTTCAATATTTAAAAGGTATCGCGTATAATTTTTCATTGCAAGTATAAATGTATTAATTCAATATTCAATAAGTATGACAAATATGAAATCTAAATGTATTAATTTTATAATTATATGTATGTGCAAATAATTTATTTTAATTATATTATATTATTATATTTTTTCGCTCATTTTGTATTCTCTCTTTTCACTCGCTCATTTACGTTCACTCTTTTTCTTTCGCTCAATTGTCGTAGCACCAGATTATCTATAGATATGTGCGAATGCGAGATTAAATTGTTCATACATTTCTAAACGGTTTTTTACACAACAACTGTGGCTCGCCAATTTATTTTAAAATCAGTTTTCCTGAAACTCCGGGGCTGGATTTATCTGCAGCTCATATAGGTAATAAATTTAAATTGCTATGGCGTTAGCACCACGGAGTATTAAAAAGCGATCAATCATTTCGATTCAACACAATAATTATAATATATTGATTTGCGTTGTAGTGCGATCAAATTTGCGCCGCTTTCATTTACATAACAGACCTGCGAGATTGACCACAGACCACTTGACCTCTCGCAGCTGTATATGTTAAATGACTAAATCAATATTCGTTTCGGAAGAACTCGTGTGGCCTATTATAAAAGAGAAAATAAATGATAATAATAATGTACAGTCTCGATGCCACTTGGGACCTGTGGATGTATTTATTTAGTTAATAATAATTATATACACATCTCCTGGGCGTAATTATTTTCGCAGGCAATGAATTGAAAGACAATGCACATAGCACAATCTATTTTCTAGCCATCATATCCGTCGAAGATGTCTTTATTATTCCTCATTGGACAATCGAATGCATTAAACCTATTTTATTATACTGTCGTATCATTTGTGTAAGGTGGCACACACTAAGACTACTATCGTTTTACTTTCGTACTCTCTAAGCTAATGACTAATAGTGTATCGCTACATTGTATACAAAACAAATCCTGAAATCCTCAATCACTCAATAAAATATTTTATATAAGCTACTCGTTTTTATATTAATAGGTTAGTAAAATTGTATGGCCATAGTTTCCGATACTTATGACTTATGAGAGACTTACCGAGACCTGCAATCACAAATAAAAAATTATTTTTGTCGAGTCTGAAAAATTATAGTCAATTTCAAATGCAATCTTGATCATTTCTATAGATATGCATCATAAGCATAACCTTCAACACCTCAAATTACGCCCCTGATTGGCCTGATTACTTTATTTTTAATTCTTACTATACTACCTACCCATATTTTATAAAAATATATTTGTAAAGAATTAATGTCTGCTGTAGGTACGTACCTAAAGGGCAAAGGCTATAACTACTTTAATATTTCGTGTTGTTTCTTAAGTGGAAAATGAAAGAAATAGCGAAATGCACTCGGTGCAACAATTTAATACCTATGGACAATATCACAAAGCAACATAATATTATTTATTGTTATTCGTCAAATTTCTAGTGTACAAAGGCACATTCGTCGAATGGCCAGACATAGAGAGCGTATTTATGACTCGATAATATAACATAGGTATACTGGTATACAGCGATCTCGCCTCTCCTTCTGCTGCAATGTATTATATTGGTACATTCAATATTAGGTATTATATTATGATGCACAATAAAATGTGAGCATGTGCTCGAGGAAATCGGAATCGAAAACTATTTCAGTTCACAATACGTATGTACTTACACGCGAGAATTCAATTACTACGTATGATACAGGTGTCTATTATTTCCGACGAATCGTTTTTTATACTTGTTAATAAAGGAGAAATCACGTTCCCGATTCGCAACGGCCACAAGCAAACAATATAGTATAAATATATAATAGGCAATAGTCAATCCGTCGTCTATATATATATATTATGATAACATAGTAATGTTATAATATACGAACACGTGCCATCACGATGCGCACTGCAGTCGCTCAGTCATCTGAAGTTTTTTTTAGGTACCTATACGTGTATTGTTACCTATATGGCTACATGACTGTGTACAATACCTACTTGACAAATAATTAATAAATTAAAGAACTGAAAATTACTGTAATAATAGTATCAATAATCGACATCTAGGACTCTATAGGAGCGTTTTGGGTTTTTCTTGATTTTTTACAGTTTAACGAATGTTAAAATGATTCATGATTAGGTAATTGAGCGCTTCAGCCATGTACGATAATATAATATAATCGTAATTTGTGATTTTTCGTGTAATGTTTGTTTGTTCTGACTACGTCAAGCTCGTGTCTATATGTATAGTATATCTGTATACTCTGTTAATTTTTTTAATTTAATCCAGACCACCGAGACTTTTAAAACAAGAAGCAAAATTACACCCATACGTCAAATTAAATACGCCCAAGATTTTTAAATGCGTAGAATTTCAAATTAACTACCCAAAATAAGCGTAATTGGAAAAACAGAAGAAGTGAGGAAAAACACATATAATTGTAATAGGTACTATTTAATGGCTCATATATAACTGGTAGTTATCACTTTCAGTTCTGATTGATTACGAAGTTCCTAATAAGTTCATTAAATTCAAAAACCTTATTTTTTCTAAAGATGCAATATTTTTTTTTTATGATTATCTGTTGCGTGATAGGGGAAGCTATTATATTTCAATATTATAATCATTACTCTTTCACTTAATTATTATTTTGATAAAGAACCACATTTTCTCATACAATAATAAAATATGGGAAATGCAAATTATAGCAGATAGCGATTATCAAAAATTAATTACCTACCTTATTATTTACTTGCATTCAGGTACATAATATAAGTGAGGACAACAATTATTTATAGTGACATAAGTATGTTTAAACTCTACAAAAATATATAATATCATCCACATTAATAAATGAAGTACATTCATGAGGTTTTACGTTATTCAATTTCATAAATACGTTTCGTTAATGATGTATCATCGATAGTAATAGTAATTGGTTATTGTTATTTCGAGTAAAAGTACAAAGATGATAAAGTATAATAAATCTTGTATATTGCAGTCATAAATAATAAACAATCTGCAGTCGTGTATAATTAATTACAAAATAATAATAGCTCATTTATATTCATGTACGTATAATATTAATGCGTAAGTAGGTATTGACTATTTGATAAACTTATTTAAAAGTAATTAAATTTATTATGTATGTATTTGAATTGATTCGGATCATTGTCACGAACCGCTGATTATAATTAGATACTCTTCGTAATCAACCGGTTATTAAAGGATGATGCGCGTTGTTACTTGTTATAATAATGTGAATCCAAAATTAATTTTTTATGGTTGTAACTATAAATTATATACATTTTAAACATTTAAACACCTGTATCACACTTTCAACACATATTATACAGTTGATTAATCATGCTATAATTATTAAATTACGCTATGTTATATCCATAGTAGCCACTAGCCAGTATGTAATATGTACATATTTTGGGCCATTGCGCGTTTTTAATGCATAAATTAAACATTTGGTACCCTCATAAGTCATATAAAATGCAGCGTTTCACGTTTCCATAAAAAAAATGTAAACAAAAGGATACATACTGACGTAACCAAATTATGCCTTTTTCCTTATGATTGATTTTTGGTATTCGATCGATAATCCGATTCGATGTAAATTGAATCCGATTTTTAACTATTTATGTATATTTTGGCCTGGGTTATTTTGTTTGTATCTAAGTAAATAAAACTGTGGCCTTAATATTTATTTAGTATTTACTGGCCTAAATGACTAAACTATCAGTGACTTACTGAAAGTCGATAATGCTATACTGGAGTCATTCGCTGTATAGTATAACTACGTAGCTTGAATCCTAAAACCGGGTGTACAGCTACGTATCGTGTGCGTTTTATCTTATTCTCATTGCCCTTTGTCATCGTGGTATCATTCACAACCATCATACCAGGAAATTTCCAGAGTTGGGTCGAGCTCAACTTTTGGACACGGCACGCCGTACCTCTAAACCCGACTTTGAGCATTCCGCAAGCCATTTCACTTACAGATTTTTCTTGTCCTTATAGGTGTAGAAAAACTGTTCGGACAGCAGTCTTATACGTGTTCGCGGTCGTGCAGCTGTTACCGCTGCTTTCGACCGCGGTCGGTGTTGGTACCGGCCAGACCATCGCACCGTCGGGAGCTGAATTCCTCCACAGCGTCATTGGCAACATGCAACGACCGAATCGCAAGGTGTTTAATGACCGAATCGACGTCGAAGAATACATACCCGACGATATCCCGTACAGCCCACCGGCCGACGAGATAAAAATGCTGTCGAAACAACCGTTCAATTTCAACGTACGAGAGTCAATTTAATTACACATTTTATATACTATTTATACATGATATATTGATATGTATTTTTAATAAATAATACTTAACGAAGAGTTTATAACCGAGTCAAACGACACTCTTATTCGTGTATATACCTGTTATTACTAGGTGTATACCTATATATTATCACAATATGACATTATTTATTGATTGCTGTTCACAGAATCAGGCGAACCGCCCTGGCCAAACCGATGTCACCAAAAGCCAAGTCGAGTTATTACTTTCGCAAATAGCGCCTCAATTTTTGAATAAGGAGTTTGCCGAATCACAAACCCGGATAGTTACCCAAGAAGCTCCTCAACAGTATAACCCGGTACCCAACAGTCAACAAAATATAATTAATGCCATTGCGAGTGAGTCGAAAACAAAAATATCAACAAAAAATATGTACCTATATACTATTTAGCTATAATTTCCGTCACTGTGCGGTGACGATCGTATAATACATTAATACCTAAACCACTTCGTTTTGCAGGCGACACGGCGCAGAGACCGCCGGATGGCATGATTTCCGGATATAACTACTTCTTTTACCCGTTGGACAACAAGGTGCTGCAGCAGTTACCGCAGGTGCAGCAGACGACGGCGATGTCGGAACCGGAACCGCCCAAGTCCGAAAACCAGGCGGCGGCCAAGCCCCGCGTGGAGCCTCTGTTCGTGGCCATGGCCGGATTCGTGGGCGTAGCGGTGGTGTTCCTCAGCGCCCTCATGTTCATACCGATATTGCCGATACACGCTCTCACCTCCAAGGCGGTGCTGAAACGTGCCCCCGAGGAGCTCGCCTCCCTAACGAAGCTCGTCGCCGAGTCCATCGACGGCAAAGACTGTAGCGAGAGGATAGCGTGCGAGGTTGGCAGGGCGATGCGGTCCATGCGGGTGGGCAACAAACCCATCAGGTAAAACCTTTTTTGAACAAACCATGACGAATTGAAATTTATGTTAAATTATTATTTTAAACAATGGCAGTATTAAGTAAAATAAAATATAGTAACAATAAAAATACCTACATAAATAAATACATTTTACATCGAGTAATTAGGTAAACATGTGGTGTATGAAAAAAAATATAAAATATAAGACCTTATGTCTTAGAACCTACATAATTAGGGCTGTTAATTTTTAGATAAATGCATTATTATCTCACCTACTGTAAAAGAAAACTTTCTATACTGCCACATGTGTTATCTCCATCTTATACATACTTACAACATACCAAATTGTACGTTAATTATAATCCATTTTACTTAATTATTTTTGAAAATAAAATGAGTTGACGTATTATAAAATTTAAAGGTCGTATATTATAAATTATCTGGGACATATAGCAGGATTTTATTGATATTTTTTATTTTGAAACAAGTTATGATAATTTTGAAATTTACAAAAATTGTACAAGTTTTAAAATGCTCATAACTTTACTTTCGCCACTCGTGTGGCATCTTTTTTCTACAAATTTTTATTAGGTACTATAATTATTTCAATTTTACAGCTCTTTGTTTGTAATTGTTTTAATTTTTGATTTAATAATATTTTTTAAATAATTTTTAAGTCGATTTTTATTACTTTTTTTTTATATTTTTAATAATTTTCGTCAACTTTCAACCACAATTTATGAATTATTTTTTAAGTATTTAGGTACATTTCAGAGTTGAAATAAAGGTAAACGATTATTTCTTTGATAATTATTGTCATTTATTGATATGCATTTAATATGATTTCCTCATTACTTTATTCCTCCCCGAAAATTGTTCTATTTGCACTTATGACTTCATTCTTTTCCATGCAGTGGCTACGTGTAAATTTGATTCGACAAAAAATTACATCCAAAACCGTCACTCGGTTGTATATTATGGGCGGTTTGGTAATAATTAATTTAGTTGTTCAAAATAAAATATAAAATACATTTGATAGAACCACTTTACAGCGCTTCCAATTATACCTACTTTTTGACTACCCATCAAATTATCCATCTACTCATCCATTAAATTACACATCACATGGATACCTAACTATATGTTCCAAAGGTGAAACCGACTTTCGAAAAGTGTCTCTGGACGTAGGTCAAACTGCACAATAAAAGTGACTGGTAGTGTTTTTACTTGACAAATATATTTTTATTTAATGTATGAATTATTCATTTTATGATCATTATAATATTTTGATTATCTTACCTATAATATGTACCTGGCCGGAATTATACGAGCCTATGTGAAAATCGTAAAATTAATATTAGTAAATCTTTTTACAAAATAATATTTTTTTTTCTAAAGATTGATCTTCAGAAATGCAGACTCTAAACATTAAAGACAACACCTGATAATAATAAAAATGATACACTTAAAATATATATATATATATGTGTAAAATATAAAAATTAAAAATTTTTATTCTATAGACTTTCAACGAATTCAATGATTGTTATATTAATCAACGATTTATACAACGGATATTGTATAAATAATATAACGACTTAATGTATGACAGGCACAATCCCAATTATACGGGAATCGTAAGTTCCTTCACGAGAGTAGCAAATTAAAAATTATAAACGTTAACTCTTACATAAAATGAGATGTGTAAGTTAATACATATAGCAAAAAAAGGCGCGTATGTAACTATGCAAGGACCTATGAGGCAGGAAAAAATATAATCATATTTAATTATATTTCGTTTTCATACATTTTAGTATAAAATATTTCGTAATTATATAAAAAAAAATTCATATTTTATATCGTTTATACTTTATACCCGTCCATTTTAATACTTGTTACAAAAACTATACTTTATTTCATATAATATTAATTCATGAAATACAATTATATATAATGTGTAATATATTTTTCTGCTGTGTACGAATTTACAAACTCACCTTTTTTTTATCCTGTAGGAATTTCCACATCTCATTTTTATATTCATGTAAGAATTAACATACGTACCTTAATTTACCTTGTTGGAACTGATATATTATGTACTTATGTACTTTTTTCTATCGTGTACATTGGACGACGACGAATTCGGTAGACGATAATGGGCAATTTCCCAACTTAAATGGTCTTTATTACGTAATTATTCGATACCCAAAAGCTGAAAGTACCAAATTGTAATTATTTTATTTAGGTGTAGGCAACAATGCACACGTTGTTTTCTTACAATACCTAATTACCTGTGTAATATCTACGAGGAGAATTCCCAACTTCGCTTTTATTGTTTTCACCGTTAGAACATATTTCACAATTTTACTGTTTGTTTTTCGCGATTTTGACTTGTGCGGAAATTTTTTACCAAATTATACACTATATCTCGTTGAAGTGGTAGTTTTTTTTTTGTTTAATATTTTAACAATTTTTTAATTTTTTTATTGCAGAATGATGGAAATAATATTACCCCCAGCGGTGGCAAAACAGCTAGCTCAGATAAGAAGGTCTGCTTCAAAGAAAGAACAGTGTCATTTCATCATGTGCAAAAAGACTGAGGGCACATTGCAATTGGTGGCGAAACTAAAGCAAACTCATCACAATAAAACTATTCACGATGTTAGAGAAATTTTTAACATTTAAAACACACTGTTTTTTGAGATTAATTTATTCTAGCTGTTAAGTAAATTATTCTATTTATTTAAGATTACTTAAAGATTTGTAAGTACTTCAGTTATGCCAGGGCTGGGCAGATTTCTTTTTTTCCATAAAATTATTTTGAAAATGAAAATTAGGTTTTCTAAAAAAAAAGTTCAAGTTAAAAAAAAAATTCAATTACTTATCAGATATGAGTAAAGACTTTCTTATTTTCTTTTTACCTGTAATTTTAGCGTGGTTTAAGTAAATTTATTTCATGATATTAATCAGTAACCCTGACAAAATTATGCCTCAGTTGAATGGTCTGATTTCTAGTTTATAAAAAGATTTGAATTTATCCGCCTTTTTTTAGGTTATTGTGAGAATCAATTTTTGGCATTTTAATTAAAATTACGTAAAATAATAAATAACCATTTTTACTCCTCAAATTTTGAGTGTCGACTTAATTTTTTTAAGAAAATAAAATGGTTATTTAAAAATTAACTTTCACAATAACCTGCACAAAATTATAAAAAAAGGTTTACTTTTAAATTCTTTTTAAAAGTATACGCATTATTAGTAGATTCAATGACAAATTATATTCATTCAATGTACTTTATATTCTAAATTCTACTCAAAAAAATCTAAACAACAAACAGATAAGTAAAATATTTTTTGCCACTTTAATATTAATAAAGAAATTAATTAAAAATCAAAAATGTAAATTAACTTTGAATTTGTTAATGCCCAGCCTTGAATAATGTCGTTGCTGGAAGTGATCCCAATCGGTCATTTTCTAAGGAGTATTGTATAGGCAACTCATTATGTCATGACAATATTATACAATATTGTACTCTATGCATAGAAAAAATGACAATACATGTTTTTGTATTTGTAAGTGACTTATATATTATTATAATTAAAAATCACTAAATAAAATTCCCTATTTATTTTATATTGTAAGATGCTAGAACAAATTATTTTAGCAGAACTGATAGATAAGTACATCAAATACAATATATTATGTATACAATTAATAAAAGATAAAAAATAAAATAAAAATAAATTATCATATATTTAAAAGTTTGTATTCATTTTGATTAATTTCTACCTACCATAGTATAACAAGTGTTATTTTTTCATGTAAAATAAGAACAAAAACAAAGTGAAAACAGATTGTTTTTTTGTAACATGGGTATTTATATTAATTTATAGACATTACAAGTTAACACCCCGAGTACAAAACAATTTTTTAATGTATAAAAATAATAATACCTACATGATATTTGATTTCAAATTGATTTCTAAATGTTTCTGAATTTAACAAATTTTTTACTTTAAATGCTCTCAAAATTGTATTTAGATCTATGATAAACTTTTTTCAAGTTTCTGGTTTCTAGAATTAATAATTGTTGAATAACAGCAAATAATATTAGTTATAGTAACTATTTTCTATTATCGTTTTAATAATTATTTTTTGTTTAAAGATGCAATCGTAAAGTTATCTTAAAAATTAATCCGTCCATCTTATTTACACTTAATATTTTTTTTGATTTCAATAAAAACTTATGGGTGGTTTTGCGTTTTGGTATTAACATATTTATGAATTTTAATTTTTATACAATAAAAAACTAAAATTTTTAGTTAATTCCTTTATCATGATATTGTAATACGGCTTTAGTATACAAAATGTTTTTTAAATTTTTACCGTAAATTGGTATTTTAAATTGTTAGCTATTCAAATAATAAAATTGAAGGTATCCAATTTGCGACTATTAGAAAAGTACAATTTGGGATTTTCTAAGTTTTAACTAAAATGCTAACTAGATCAAAAATGATACCAAAACTCTAACCTCAGAAGTCAGAGTTAAAGATAGGAAAAAATATTCTGCTCTAATTTAACAAAATTCCATAATAATACATACCTAATAATAAAGTGATTCTCAACCTATGTAGTGAAATACAGTAATGATAAAAACCACAAATAAGAAAAATATCTGTGAATATAGTCTCATTCTCAATCTACATTTTTAAGTTCTACAATTGTTGCTTTTTCAAAAATCCATAGTAAAATTATATTTTGACGATTTAATAGATAAAAGATCATATGTTTTCTGCTTAAACATATAAAATAAAAATATTTTAGATGACAATGTATTGTACGTTTATTTTACATTTATTGCTGTTGTATTTTAGTAGACATAATACTATGTTTCCACCAACTTGCTTTTCCTCTGAAAGTGATATTGATAGATACTCGTTTCAGCCCAAAATTATACTAAACATTTTACATGTTTATTGTTTAATAAATTAATATGGGCAGTATTTAAGTTTTCAAGTTATTTAATTACATTTTTAAGTACTCAAGGCATTGTCTATTGTGAACAATAATTTATACAACCTACACATATCAAATACAATGTAATATTTACAAAAATAAATCACAGAAAAGTATTCTTTTATAAATAATTTAAGTTATCTTTAAAAGTGAAATAATTTTTGCATATTATTTGTTGTTCTAGTTATTTAATGCATTTTCTGTCTTTTGAAACTCTCCTGCCTTAATTATAAGTTATTACAATGAAAATAATATTTCGCATTAATTGAATTAATTAGTAGCATAGTGTTTAGTAATCATATAAAAACCTTTTTATAATTTAATATAATTAAATGTATAAGTTATTTGTTTTCATGCTCACTTTATAATATAACAATTCTTGGTAATAACTTAATACTACAAATAGAAATAAACAAGTGATTTATTTTGAGAAAAAAATTAGTTTTATGCTCAATACATAAAGATAGTCATCTTATTTTTTTACAATCGAGACTTAAAAAATATATAGAAATTTTATTAAGGGAAACACAGAAGAATAACTTTTTTTGATAGATAGGATGATATTAACACTTTATTTTTATAATACAATATATGTCAACATTTATCAACCACAAGGGGCAGTTTACAATAAAACTTAACATGGAACACCGTAAAAATAGATTGAATACTGAACAATATTGTGCATATAGGGACAATGATTTAAAAAATACTGGTTTTAGATTGACATAATAAGAATAATAAGAATAATATTGCCGGTTTAGATCAAGTTTGTTTTTATATAAAGAAAACTTTTTGCTAGCTACACCAAATTGTTTGAGTGCTATAGGTAGCAGTTTTCCATTTTGCATTAGGTAATATCTTATTATTCTTATTAAAATAAGAAACAAACAAAGAAATAAAATAATTTACAAAAAAATTGGTCAAAGCTTAACTTATATAAGTAGTATAAGTAGTCAAGAAACATAAATTTAATAAATAAAATTAACAACGATTGTACGCTATTGGTCGGTATTTTTTTTCCATTTCTCTATTCTTCACAATAGTATAAGCAGCACTTCCTCCCAATACAACAAAATTTGAAAACCACCACATAGAAGATTTCCACTGATTATACCAGAATGAAGCTAATACTGTTTGGAAACAAGATTTTGCTGTACCAGATATATTATGAGTTAATGGCGATGTTACCTGAAATCAAATTAAAATTGGATATACATTTCATTATTATCATATAATACTAAAACCATTGCTTATTAAAACGTATTAAGTAATATGTTTATAACTAATCATGGAGTTAACTATACACATACACAAAATACTAGGGATTATTACAGTAGTTATTGTAATTTTTTAAATTGTTTGATTTTAATAAATCATTAGCTCATAAGGTATAAAGTAATAAGTGTAAAAATATAGAAGATATGAATCTTAATTGTAACTTATGAGAATAAAGTATTTTGCCAAAATACAATTTTTTATACTGATTATAGATTAAATTATACTATACATAGGGAACACTGATGCAATCATTTATCTCTTATTATTTTTAATTGAATTTGACTTTCAAGTAATGCAGTAATGCATTGTGGAAGGAAAATAAGTATCTACTCAGTTTCTACTAACATGCACAATTAGTGAGCAAAATGAAAATTAAATAATGAACAATAAATCATAAATGATTTCATTGGCCTTGCCTATCCATAGTGTTGTTAAAATTTTAATCTATCTACAACTTACTAATTAATTTTGCAATATTACATTAAATAAATATTACAGCTTAATACATTAACTGTAGATAATGCCAATTGGTGTTATCCGCAACTGATTTTTCAATCAGATAATGAAAATATTTTGCCCCCGCCCATTGACAAATTTCTGCAGATGCCCTTGATTGTAGCTCAGACAGCGATATAATAAAATAACTATTTTTTTCTCAACGTTAAATATTTGAACAAGTCATATTTCGTATAAGTACAGAAATGATTGGTAGCAAATGTATATATATTTTTAATTATTTATTTTAAGTACGGCTAGTTAGTCTAAAGTTTAGACTTAAACATTAAATATATAATGAACTTACTTGTACTTGGAGTACTGTTATATAACCAATTGAAAGTCCACACACACCACCAATTATCATAAGTAACAAAAATTTGTATTCAGTCAGTTTACTGTAATTACTCAATTCCTTAGCTTCAAGAGCTAAAAGTGGAATGAATAATATAGTAGCGTATACATTATTGAAGTAAGAAAGTAGCCAAATTTGGTTATTGACATCAGGTAGAACTTTTTTAATTTGAATAGAGTAATATGCCAAAGAAAATGAACTTAAGACTCCAAATACTGTTCCAACCAACGAAAATGAACCTGTAAAATATAAAATAAGAGTAAATCAGTCATAGTAAAAATATGATCATTTCTATTATTAATGTTTCTAAATAAAAATAAAAGATCAATTCTTTACTTTCTTGAATTTTTAAAAATAATTATTACTGCTTCAATATATTCATCTTATCAATTATAATGTTAGCTATGCCAATGTGTTGCCTTATAAGTTTTTATTATTAAAGACAATTATTATGTTGTTACATTACTTAAATAATATGAATATGGGCAGTAAATAAAAACTGTAATTTTAAATGACAAAAAAAAAAAAGATAGGGTCAAATATAAATCAGTATACTTTATTAAGTATTCTAGAGTATTTTAGACTGAAGACAACGGTATATTAAACTAACATTTATATAATATGTTAATATGTTATAGTATGTAATACAACATTTTTTATGAATAAGTCCTAAGTTTTGTACGTACAAGTAGCATACTAAACTTGTACAGATTCTTTATACATAAATGGATTTAATGATATGTTACATAAATTGAGCAATAATTAAAATAATTAATAATAATACCTGAAAGATTCTCTTGATCTACTCCCAAAAAAAATCCACATACTACAGCAAAACAACAAAGGAGACAGCTAATTGAAGTAGTTTGACCTAAAAATCAAAACATTAATTTTATAATACAAAACAATTAATATAGCTAATACCTACAAAGCAAATAATAATTGTTAAAATTATTCTAAAACTAAAATTATTTTACTATAGTGATGGATATATTAATACATTTTATTTTATGTGATCAATATTAAGAATAGTGATATGAATTAAGAAACTTATTATGTTAGTTTTTCCTAAATTTAAAAACATCTATTATTTCAAATTGTATTGCTAATTGCATGAAGTATATTAAATTGCATTCCTATTTCTCTATAATCATAATTTATAGACTTCAAATACAACTTGTAGCTGGATGTCTATTTTTTTGGTCCTTCTGAATGTATACAATTGTAATTCATAATATTTAAAAATTGTTGTAAAAGACATGAATCTAGTAACACCAGATCAATAATTCATAAATTACTAAAAACAATATACACTATATTTGTACTAATAAAATTACATCTATTACAAAATAAAAAATATAATAGTTACCTAATATTAAATAGGAAAGTATGACGTTGAATACTGTTGTGAGTGATCGTCCAACATAATAAAATGTAACATCCACAAATTTTAGACAATAGTTATTTGTAGATATCATTAAAATATATAATATTGATAGTGGCAAAACCTAAAAATATAATTAGACATATATTTTAATACTTATTAGATATAAAAAGTGCATACAAGGAAATACCTTTGATTTAAACCATGGCAAAATATAGATTTAGTAAGTAGGTATACTAAAGGTTAAAAGTATTTAAAAATGAACCACACTTAGTATTTAGTAATGATTAAAGTAATTAAATAAGATATGTATACATTCTTAAAATGTGCAAATAAAATTAACTTTTAACAAGCTCCAAGTTAGTTTACTAAATGTAAGTAATTAAATTAAGTTACCTAAAGTTACAAAGAAATTGAAGAACTTTTTAATCTAAAAGAAATAGAAACATATTTTATAGTACACGTTATGTTAAAATGTAGATCAATACCATAATATTTTTACTACAACATTGGATTAATGTAAACTTCTAATTATTTTAAATTTTGGTCTGGACATAGTAATGTACAATGCACAACTAGTATAAGGTTTAAGACCTAAACTTTAGGTACCATGCAATGATAAAATTGCTAGTCCAATCAATATAAAGCCATAGAGAAAAAATATTAATAAAAACTTATAATTTTACTTTAACACTTCATCAGTACAAGTAACTTACTTTTCTCACAGTGACAGCATTAAAGGGATTTCCCTCAGGAAACTGTACAACTGTTGGAAACATCTTAGACAAACGACTTAATGTGAAACAAATTATTGCTGAAACCAAACACTGGAACCACGCAATGAATATAGGAGCATCAACATCTAGTTTGTCAATACTCAATAAAGTCTTATTTACAAATACTGTAAGAATAGAAATCACCCTGTAAAATATCAATCAAACATTTAGACTCAAAATAAGTAGGCTAGTATTATATAGTGATAAAATATTTAAAAATCAACAAAATAATGAACGTATCATGACTGCTTACCAATAAATAACGACGACAAAAAATATTTGGATGTACTTCAATGATAATGTGTCGAGCTTCATCTCGAAAATGTAACAAAATTACAGGTAATGTTAAGTGAACGGACTGGCGTCCCGCTTAAGCCTAATTATAATAATCGACAGTACATTCATACGCAACCACTTAACCAAGAGAGGTTATTACTTGAGAGGTTATTCGTTCCGCGTCACGTACAATTTTGGTAGACGACACACAACGAGTTGAACTATTTAACTACATCGTTAATCGTTGCTATGTTGTATCCTCTTCTAGTTGCATTAAAACAGCATACGTATTTTACCAAAAACCGAAATCACGGTAATGTACGTATACCAAAATTCAAACAGAAGATCATTTTGTGAAAAACGAACAATTACGTCTGTCGAAATAACGACGGTATGGATTAGCGCGAGAAGTTTGTCAATCGTTCATTCGTCTGTCCGTGGACACGGAAAGTATAATGCTATTACTGTTATTACAACGCATCAATATATAATCAATCATGACAATAATAATTGAATAATAATTAAATCATATTTTACAATTACAACTTGAAACGTCGATATTCCGGCAGAGATAAACTTTTCGATACCTACTCGTGATAAGCATGGTATACCACTGATACAAGATGTAGACAATACAAGACAAATTTTATCAACTGATAGGGTTATCACCGGTTCGAGCACATGCGAGACGAACCGTCTTGATAACGTTGCAAATACAAAACAGAATTAATTCCGAGCTTTCATCGTTTTTTCTTATCCTTTTTTTCAACCACACGCTGTTGCGGATCTTGTGCCAATGGTGTGAAAAAGTCCTCAACGATGTTGTCTTTGAAAATTGGTCGGGACTTGTCCAAGTGCCTGATGACGGCTAGTCGTTGTTCTTTGTGGCAATCGCGTCTGCCGACGTGCTGGACCACTTTGATACGACGGAGTTATGGGGACCACGGCAGGACAACTGGTGGTGGTCGCGATGGAGGCAGAGGCAGCGATGACGACGATGGATTCGTGAAGCCTAGCAATTACAAGGTATTCAAAGATGACGACTCGTCGGTGATTTTGGACGTAGAAGAGGAACGTGCCCTGCTTGACTCGCAGTTATCCGCTGACGATCCCCATTCAGATTTTGATGAAATCGATCAATTCGCTGGTTTCGATTTGTCGCGTGAGTTAAAATTCCAATGAAACATCCAAATATATCCTCCTGACACTGTAACAGTTTTATCCTTGAATGCTACTCTCTAGGAGGCATTTTTCGCACGGTTGCTGACAGTTTTCAAACTGCTAAATTAATGACCATGTTATGTCTAAATCAGAAATTGATTGGTTACTTTCAACAGTTTTATAGAGGTCAAGTTATTTATGCCTATATGTTAATATTATTAAATTTTAAGTTAATATTTATTTATTTTAAGTATTACCCAAGAATAAAATCAAAAACCTTTTTTAAAGTTGTTTAACAACTTTAAAAAACAAAATTATATTATAGTATTACAACTAAAATTATTGTGGATGTATGTATATATATATATTATATTATATATAATACTATCTGTAATATTAGTTGGCAACAATTTTAAGCATAATATTACCTAATTATACTTGGTAGATAATACAATAGGTTTTTGATTTATAACACTACTGTTTACCAATTATGACTAACGCATATTAAAATTAGTCACAATTACACATATTGATACTATTCAAGTTCCCAGAATTAAGCTGATATTCCTGTACCCACTAGTAGGCACTAGCACCTTAATATTTATTAAACTAACAAGCGTACATAATAAAAGATCCATAGAGTTTTACATTTTTCAAGTTTAAAGCACATTGGATAAACGTATAATTATTGGATTGGTTATTTTTCTGCTTTAACAGATGAGTAATTTTTTTCTTTTTTTGACCTTTCCACTTCATTATATCAACTATTGTATAATTGTTGATAAATGAAAAATAAAAAATACAGAATATTGATATATTTTTCATATTACTACCATAAAACTACCATTTAATATAAACAATTTGTTTATTAAAATCACCACCGTTCACTGTAATTTTTCAAAGTAATTTTATCACATTTGAAGTAGGTATCTTAACATTTTAAAAATATATGAAGTACTTACCATAAATTATACTAGTGAGTTGGGATATTTATATTTAAAAAATGTAGTATAATAACTTGAACCAAAAACTTATTCTGAGAAAGTAAAGAAATTGCATTTAGGAGGACACCATACCCAAATATTTTAGGTTCATCTTACAAATGTAAAATATAGCAAATTTCTTTGTTTTTAACTTTGATATTTGTGGAAATTGACCAATTTAAAAGTAAAAATAGTATCTAGGGCTTTTAAAATATATTTTTTTCTTTCAAATTTGAGTATTGATTGACGATTAACTTGTAATTGAATGATGTCTAATGTGGCTCAAAGAAAATTAAGATCATACGTTTAAATACTTCAAATGTTAAATAAATTCTTATTAAATCCATGTTTCTGCCATTGACCTATTAACTAGTATTAAGTCATTACCAGTGACACCAAACTCAGTTAAAAATTAAAATAGATGGGATAATTTTAACCGAAGACCAACTACCCACCCACACACCCATCCATATCGTTGTTCAAAAACTAGAGAAAATACCAAACCACACGAAGCCCTTTGCTTCGCTTGCAAACAACACAACTTTAATAACAGATATTTCATATTATCTCATGTATCTATTTGACTTTTTCAATAATCACGTATCCACCGTTCAGAGTTTTATCTTGGAAGAGAACATAGATTCTAGTTTTCTCAATAATCTTAATTCCTAGTAAGATAAACATATGCTATGATTAATTTATTCTCTATTGTAACTGCATATACCTAGTAATATTACTTTTAATTATTTTGTATTTTTAATATTTTATTAAAATAATTTTTCACTATACATTTGTACTACATCTTTTTACTACATCAGTCTGCAAGTCCATAGTATACTAGTTGCTATATATATAAAAAGGCATACACAGGAGTACATGTTAATTTTTGTTGTTTGTGTTAATTAACTCTTTTACTGATATGGACGCATATTATATGTGTCCAATGTAACCATCTCTGTGGTGGTATGGACGCATTTATATACGTCCTATCATTAAAAAAAATAAAAACAATAAACCTTTTAATTAACGTGACAACATAAACAAATGGTTAGGATACACTAAAAAAAAATAGATCTATTAAAAAATTAATATAGTATACTCTTTTGTATATATATAATTGTAACTTGTAAAAATTTAAACAAATCTTGAGTATAATAGTAAAGGTTAAAAAGGGCTTCAAATTTCAATTTTGCACAAGCTCCTTGATTGGTTTAGTTACGGCACTGGAAAGGTATTACAAAAGTTGTTGTCAGGTATTCGATCATAATATCTTATAAATACGTATATGTTATATGTATTGTTCAGAACAATAAACCAGTATTCAAATAATACTCGAAATAATATTACAAATATCTATGGAAATAAAACTGTTAAAACATCAATCATCATACTGTAAACATACTATTACTATTATTGATACAGGGGATTGTTATCAACTTATAATAAATATTATTTTGATAATGATCTGTACACAAACTTTTGCTTATATAATTTATCTGTTTCTTATTCGAACGGTACAATTTGTGAACAACAATGTATTTACGTTTTTTTAAATTTAACTATAAGCTTCCTAGTAGGTATCTAGTAAAACCATAATTATCTAAGAGTAGTGTAACTTATGCACATTTTGTATAAAATTAGTATTTAGTAATAACTAATGAATAATAAAAATTTATTTTTATAAATTTCTTTAGCCTCCTTAAATTTATTTAATCTTTATCTACTTAAATTAGGTTCGTAAGAAGATGTCAGCGCATGATTTGTTTTCTCCCTCTGTCCCATATTCTGCATATAAAATTTTTGTTCTACAGATTTAATTATGTATTTTGGCTTTAATGTTAAAATTAATTGATTTTATAGATACTATTAAAATTATAGGTAAGAATATTATTTTGGGTGCCTAATAAGCTTTTATTAATATTTTAATTTAAAAATGAGTTATAATGTACATAAAATTGTAAGAATTTTGAAATACCCATAACTTGCTTTAAAATTAAAATATCAATAAAAGCTTGTGGGGTATCCCAGATAATGTTTGTTTAAGTATCATATTATCTCAATTGATTTAATATAAATATAACATTCTAACAGCACAAAATTGTATCTGCCGAATGAAAATTTGGTATGATGTCCAAGAGTCAGAGAGTGAGATCAAACAAATGTTGCGCTTATATTCACTTAATGATGCATAAAAATATATTTAATATAGGTAGGTAGATAGATTCGAATATTATAGCAAAAAGAAAAATCATTTGAGTTATTACTTATTACATATTTTTACATTTTATTTTATTCATTACATATCATTTGAAATAATATTGATTGACTTAATTATTATATCTTATTAACTTGAATTTTTCAAATTGCTTTTTACTGAGACGAAGTAGATTAAAGAAATAGTATACATATAGATACCTATTTTATAATTTTTACCCACATTGAATTAAATTTTTTATTTATATACCTATCATATATTATGTTCCTAGCTACCTACTAAATTCTGATGTATTATATATTATAATTAGGTCACATATAGTGTATGTAGTAGCAAGTCATTTTGTTAAAGGTGGCCAAACCAGCTTATAGATTTAGATGAATTTTGTCAACATTTTAACTTTAGACGCTTATAAAATATTACTGTAGATTTACATTCAAATTTTTTTTTAATTTACCCTAATAACAATTTATGAGGAACCTTGAATTAAATTTCCAAGTATTTTGACAGAAAAACATTTTTTACTGACATTAATTTTTAAAAAAACCAATAAAAACTGAAAATGTCATATGCCTATAAATAGCTGAACATGAGTCAAAATATTTTTAAAGTTTTGGGGTGCTTTAAAAATGCTTACATTCAGTGAAAATTGCATGTGTCTACCTTAATTTTTTTAGAGGTTCACCAAAAACTAAAATCGATCTTGTCGAAAACTGATTTTGCGTAAAAATGTCCGTTCTCCCTTAATTTTTTTTTGTTCTTCCCCCGAAATTTTGTCATGTTGACCTCTCGAATGCTCGAAAAAGATTCACTTTCCTATCAGAAAATAAATTAAAATTGAATATCGAATCATTATTTCGACTACCTAATTATCAAGTACACAGAAAAAAACACATCATTCTAAAAGCAACACATTTTTTGCCCTCCTCAGTATCTGAAATTGCAAAAACATGGACTTAAAAATTCAAAATTTAAATTCATATTTACATGAAACACATTTAAAACTTACTTCGTAATAAATTGGAACAATAGAAGAAAAGTAGAAAATACAATAACATCTGTGTTCTAATTAATATAATATATTTTGTATGATGTTGGCTGCACTTTTTTTTTGTTGATGTGGGTAGCAACTTTGTGTAAATGTATATTTTTTCTCGTAAAAGTCTCTTTTTCGGACGAGTGACGAATTTTTGGTTTTTCGTGTGATTTGGTACATCAGCAGCGGCGCGGTGGCTTATTTACAAACTGCCGAGTGAACTACACTCCACATCGAGGAACATCCGGTAGTTCGTCGCTCGTTTGGATTTGGATGTCCACTCGTGGACGTTCACTATGATAATACCTGTCTCGAAGATCACCATCGGGGCTGTCTTGTCCGGTGTCGTGGGCTTGTGCTTCCTAAGCTACTTCGTCTTCTTAGGCCCTGAACGCCGCAGTGACAAGGTAACCAAAATGAACCGGCTCAAGAAACGACTGGCGACTAAGGATGGCGAAACTACTAAAATGGCGGTGCTCGTCCAAGAGTTGCACCCAGGATTAAAACAAATCCAGGCCGATCAGAAAATCTTTGAACAAGATGTGAATATGGGTGAGTTCTACTTGATTCGCGGGAACGAGGATCTTGGCGTCAAGCACCTAGTCAACGCGATGATGACATGCCAGAATCCCACCGTTCTATACCAAGTGCTGCAAAAAAAACTGTCCAAACGCTTGTTTGAAATGCTCACCAAGAAGCTGTCACCAGAGCAGCTAGAACTGTGGTCGTCTTCCAGCAATCTGAATTTGGGTGACGTCGATTAGTGTTTTTTTAATCGTCAAGTTAATTTTATAATTATATACGCATATGTTTTTATTAATTATTTATTTATTTGATTCTGTACTTATATAACTATATGAGGTGTCAAATTTATACTAAATAGTATAGCGAGACAGTGTATTAGATATTAAGACATTTAAAAGTGTACAATTACAAAAACATAAGATAGAATACATTAAATTAGTGAAGTAATTATTAAAAAATAGAATAATAAGGTGGCCGGGACACTAAAATAAATTAAAAGCTAGTGGAGCATTCTGTGTATGAGGTTCAATGAAACATAAAAAAGCGGGTAAGTGGATGTCACTCTACTGTGTAGTAGCCAGTAGGTTACAAGTGGGTCCCTATAATTTATGTTGTTAAATTTGAATTCAATAATATAAAATCATTGTGCACGAAAAACGATTCTGACCGAAGAGACGGTCTGTTGGCCTACTATTAGTATATTTGTTGATATTATTGTGATTAAAGTAATCAATTTTACTATTCGACACTAATAAAATAGTAGAAGGTTAAATTCATTTTTGCCTAAAAAATTACATTTGAAAAGTCATTGTATGTAAAGAATATAATAATATACAATAATATACAATAATATACAATAATATATAATATAGTTTCAAGTACTCACGAATAATATTTTTTAATTACAACGAAATACCTAAAATCGCTATTGTTGGTTTAAATATTTAATTACGTCCGAAATTGAACTTAAAATAACTATAAAAAATAAACTGTGCTAATATATTTCAAATATTTACGGTCATTCATTTTCTAAGGTTAGGGTTGGGTCGATTTTTATAAACTTAATTATCTAGTAACTCCACGTTTGAAACAGTTCTGAGTTCTAATGATTTCTATTTTATATACACATGTGTATATATTTAATGTATTTATTAAATTGTATATTTTGTTGAATAAATGTTGTTTAATTTTTATTAACTACCCATTATATTATATATTATGTTACTTGTAATAGCCGTCAGGTACCAGTCGTTAATATGTTTGAATAAATCAAATTTTATTTTATTAGTTTAAGTTATAAGTTATAACTCTACTATCATGACAAGTACGAAGAAATTAAAGTAAATGTATATATTTTTAGTATTATATTAGTTACTCGGTCAGTTTATTAAGAAGATTAAATGAGAAAGTAAATGTATTATTGGTATTTATTTCCTAAATAAAATTGGGAATGCTAATGTCCTCCTTTAAGTACCGAAATAGTATTAAAATACAACCTACAAGTCCTACAATGAATAACTTACTATACAATTAAATAATCAAAAGAATGTCAGTACCTACATAAAAAGGATCATTTAGATTACGTCATTTATATTTACCGTGAGTGTATATGTATACCATATGTATTATTTATTGTATTACTTACTCATATCTATTTTATTAAGATCCAATATTTTTGGACATAATACGAGTACTATAACATAATATTATACATATGCAATAAATACCCAAAGTACAGTGTAAGCATATTAAATTAATGTCGTTTAAAAACATAGTATTGATTTTGTTTGACATTTCGTGTTTATTAGAAGATGAAAAAACAATAGTAAAATAAAAAGGTCACAATAAACTCCGAAATAAATTTAGTAAAAGGTAGATGCCCTAAAGTGTATTTGGGTTATGAACTTTTCCACTCGGGGTATTTGACGTTATCCATCATTTACCTTGAATAATATGCGAATCGCATGCATTTTATGTGGCATCCACTCTGGTGAAACAAATTAGTGACGTGTGACGTCTCATGCCGACGCAGAAAAATCGTAAAAATAAATGTAAAACGCGATATTAAATGTTAAAACTTTAGCTCATATTTTGGATGGTTCTCTTATAAAAATATTATATTTCTCGATATAAACGTGTGTCGAATGCATTTATACAGGTGGTGTGTCCGGAGTGTTCGAAGTGGAGCATCTAGTCGAAGTGCTCCAAAAGAACAACGCCTCAGATTTGTTCGTCGTGTCCATCCCTGCCAATGTGAGGTACGTGGATTACATAGTTATCGCCACGGGGAGATCGCAAAAACATTTGATGTCGATTGCCGATTTCGTTCACAAGCTTTTTAAGAAAAAGCGCCGGCCATCGGACAACATACCCAGAATAGTGAACAAGAAGCCTCTAGACTGGATTGCATTAGACATAGGTAAGTTTTCTAATGTTGACTCGAATTATTATTTATTTATTTTTTTATTTATTTAAAAATACACCTCAACTACCTACCAAGGTTATTGGCGTTTCTGAAGAAACACATTACATTTTATAATTTCTAAAATACATACTGATATAATTTATCTAATATTTATTTTCGATTCAACAAATTTGGTCCTTTACCCTCCCCTTAATAATTGTTAAGTCCCCCCCCTACCCAATGCAATGCAGTGTATTATGAACATTCTCACTCCTCACTGTTTTATTATTAGATACAATGTATAAACATGCGCTTGTTATAAATGTACGTACCTATATACAGCGTCTATATAATAATATTATAATGTCGTCGTGACCCAAAAATTACTACTGCGGGACGGCGAGACTATTATTTTATAGACGAATTTCACGCCCGCGTCGTTGTTTAATGTGACGGCGCGCAGCGTCTGGTGTATACGGTCTTCCATTGTTGAAGAAGAAATCAACGGACTCCGCGCCGCGCCACGAACAACGCGGGCATACAGCCGATCGGCGCTCTGTGATAAAAACGAAACAAAAACAAAAAAATCCATACAATTCTCGTGTGTGCCTACCTATATATTATGTATGCATATAAAATATAATATTAATTTTGTATGAACTGCTGTCTGAGGGTCTCGTTATAACTGACAGCGCTACACAATATACAGGGTGATCCATCAAGTATGCTCACCCCCTTTGATTCAAATTCTGGATACTTCATTTAAAATTTTAAAATTTACTTCAATACTATATCTTCAAATTCTTGAGATTTTTTTTCAAGAATCTGAGAATATGATCTCTAAGAATATAAAAAAATTCTAAAAATCAGATTTTTAATAACTACATTATCGAAGACAAGAAGGATTGAGCATGAAAACCAAATCACCCTATATAATATATGCTTTGACTTGCTTGCATATATGGTATACCTAATTATTTAGCCATGGTGCAGGCGATAACTATACAATGCCATATAGGTAGGACGTATTTTACAAAAATCTTCTACACGACGCCGAGATTTCTAGCTAGGTCGGTCAAATCGTTTACTATACTACGAGGGGCGCACGTGTCGCATTGTTGTGCGTTTTTCCTAATATTGGTTGTGTGTGAGTGTCTGTCAATACTTAACTATCGGAATAGTCCAAGAAAATCATATGTTCGATTTATAATTCGAATTGTCGAATGTATAAGTGATGCAAACAAGAAGACTCATTTACATTTTTTTTTTTGTACTTTTCTGGTTCATTGCATTGATACTGCTCTATAAGCTATAAAATATAAAATATCAAAATATTTCAGTGCATACTGTTGCATTTTTCTAGATTTTTTTATTCCTTTATGAGGATATTTCTTGATTTTACATTTTTCTTTTTAGTACGTGTTTGACAATTTCAGCTCATATTTGATGATTAATACAATTTTTGTAAACTGAAAATGTACACATTGATTTGAGATTTTAATCGCGAATTCAACAATATATATATTGTATTCTTCATAATACTATACGACAGTATTATAATATGTGACTGTTGTGCATTGGTTGTAGATGTGAAGAAAATTGAAATGCCGTAATTAATATTGTACCTAATTTATATTTTTATTTGTAATTAGGTATTGATTTTCCCACGACAGTGTCCGGCCAATTATCGTCGATTCGTGGTATTATTGACATTACTGCGTCACCAGTATTAATATAAGTGGATATTTTTTTATACCAATAAGTGGTGGCTTTCATGACACACATTCTTAAGCAGTGTGACGGACGACGCGTCCTGACGGTACAGCAAAAAGAAAAAAACAGAATTGAATACATTACTTTTTGTTTAAATATATTGTATTATATTCTCGGAATAATAATATAATACTAGTGACTTCTATGAAATCTTTATATTGCGCCTATTTGTGAGGTCAATTTTAAAATATGGAGCCGTCGTGCGGGATCCTGATATCTCTTGCGGTATGAATCAAATTGAACATATTCAACGAAAGTATCTTAAATTAGTTTCTTGTACATTAAAGATTGATCACCCACCTCGCACGACTATTCTCTAGTTATGCACCGTCTTGGCTTTAATACGTTATAACTGACAGAAGGTTTGAAGCTAATTTAACTTTTCTGAAATGTCTTATCGATGGTATTATTGATTCTACTGAACCATTACCACAAATTAACTTTAAAGTTCCAACTGTAAATGTCTGCCACATGTACTAGTTTTCTTTACTTATACCGCATACACATTATTCAAAAACCCAATAATTACTCGGAATTATAGATTAGGGCAAATAAGGACTCACCAACTCTATTAGTTTAATTATTTTGCACGTATTGTGAATATGTTGTATGCATTTACTATCTTGTATTGATTTGGCATATTATCCCGCGTTGTAATAAAAAATAAATAAAATAATATTATTTGGTTTTTAATTGTATTAAACGTTTTTGATAACACGAAACCAGGAAAAGTTCAAATCAGTCATTGATCTAAAAAAAATGTATTTTAGAAAAACAATACTTATAACATTCAAAATTCTAAACAAATATAATTAAATGTTTTTTTTTTAGTATAGGCGTAACTCAACATTATTGTGAAATGTATTGTTAATTACCTATTCCTAATTATTTTGAGTTTTCTCAATAATGTTTACTGTCTACTTTTCAGGTAATATAGCTGTACACTTGTTAACAAAAGACACCAGAAAGAACTTCGACCTGGAGACAATTTGGAGCGTAGGAGAAAAGTTCGATTCCCACCTGAACAGGCCAGTGGATTCGTTGGTCACGTTATTGAACGAACATTCGTTTAGTTTAGACAATTTAGAACCGGTTGATTTTGAACATGTAAAACCCCACTAACTCGTTGGCGAACGATTTTACTCGAGTCAACTGTAAATATCCTTTGAATATTCTGTTTTATTTTTATTGTATGAAATCACCGTTTTTGTTTCAAAAATAAAAATAAATAATAATAATTGCCTTGCGTGTGTTTATATTTTTCCACGTAATCTAAACATATTTAATATTTTAAAACGAGTGTAAAATGTATAGGTATACGTTCTTGGTAAATAATTATATGTCTACTTGGTATACTTGCCTACTTCATCTCTTACACACAGTGGCAATGTTTAAATTGTTAGTAAAATCAACAATTCATCGTATAGTAGGTATTGTGTGATTAGTTGATTTATGCTAGGTAAATGAATAACGACGTATTTAGAGGTGGTACTCAAAATTAAAATAAACGACGTATCATTATAGTAAACAATTCTGAAAAAATAATCATTCATTTACATTTATTTATACGTAATATGTAGTTTTTCGATCAGCAAACAAAGAATATTCTTTGTAATTTTCATTTTTTTATATCTGTATCGCAAATGAAAAATACAGCTGTGTTATAAAGGTTTTAATTTAATTTTAATTTATAACTAGTAGTTGTATTTCCCGAATTCATCCGGGTCGAAAATAATCTATCTCTAGTTTTCCGTTTTGTTTCACTTAAACCATGTAATATACAATTACAATGATTAATATTATGTAAACACAAAAAATAGAGATAAAGTCAACGAACTCTTAAGATTGGTATTCGTATCATCAAAAATATGTACAGAATTAAGAAAGCAAATCATGAATCATAAAAGTATAATTATTTTTAATATGTTTATATAATATAAGTATTTGATTTAATTATTTGATATATTTTTCAAATATATTTGTAAATGTATTTTTATGCGTCATATTTCTACTAATTATAATAGTAATATAATCTGTAGCCAATGGCACCATTTATATCAAAAAAATATTAGTTTTTCGTGAGCCCCCACGAAATTCATTGGTTTTGAGCCACCCTTAAATAGCCTATAGTAGTGGACAACATATGTTTTAAGCTGTCCCCGAGTCTCAATAAGAAATCTATTAATATAAATTTTATTGAAAACTGACCAGTCACCAGTAGGTTAGTTATTGAGTATAAACAAACATTAATTTATATATCTTTTTACTATTTATTATTGATAAATCCTAATTCCTATTTAAAATTTTACATTTTTCTTTAATTATTTTAATATTTTAGTGTTTTACATATCTTTGGGACTTGAATGAACAATGTTTCGATTTTTTTAAATGGTCGTTTGAAATGTAATTACTCATAATCTACCTATATGTTGTGGAAAGAAATATATGATTATGTAGCGTATCGATTCTTGTTGTATAATAGGTGTTTAATATAATAAGTTCATAGTTTATTAACCGCCCAAGCCCCACCTCACCTATACTCTGGATTCCTGCCTGACTTGAATGGTTTTCACGAGTGTGTCAATATCGTGTTAAAAATTGCACGTATATGTACAATGCACATAAAAAAATATCGTTTATATAATCGAAAAAACGATTGATTTCGAGTGTACAAAAAACGAGTTGCACTCGGCCTGCGTTTTGTGTGCCGTAACACCCGTGTGCCGCCGTTATATTGACTTGATGTAGACAACATAATATTATATTGTATTAATTATAACGTCCGATCCGCAACAGTTCTGCAGTACTTCTGTTTGTATTTTAAACGTTTGATGACTTCCTATAAAATGTATATATGTACATGAATATTATATAGGTATATAGGTACGCGCGCTGTTGCGTTATTATCAAACGTTTCGATACGCTTTCACGAAACGTTCGTAATTGTTAAATTACTCAACGGTTTAACATTTTCTCACGTTTTATTGTTGTGTTGTCAATGTTATGAATAAACTAATCTCGTTATTGTTCAAACAACAAACTGCGGCGTTTTGTTCATTTTTTTTTTTTTTTGTGCAATAAACGTCTGTTTTACACCAAAAACGAACCTACCGTGCAGCTTGCCGTGTACTACTATTCATACACAGGTTGTAGGTACATATATACATGTCTGTTATTCTGTATACTATTATATTAGTATCCACCTACATTTTATAAATAGTTCGTAATAATAATATGATTTATGATATATTTTCTTAGGTAACATCATAACAAGTAACAACGTATACACACGTCACACACACACACACACACACACACACACACACTTTTACGATATTTTGACCGTACCTACTGCAGTTTAAGAGGATCAATCGAAAACATAAATCCCATCTGTATATTATTCTGTATATACGCTGAAACCCGGCGCAATGATGATGGTGGGATTGGCTTGTACATCAGCTGGTATACATATTATTATTAAAACATACACTTGCAGATGTCGGATCCAAGCACGTGGCCGTAAATATTATGATTATGTTTTTTTTTTGATGGGGTGGCATGGGGGAAGGGGAGCGAGGAGGATTCAACAACTAATAAAAATACAAATCGTTTTCCCATTTAATTTTGTAATTTTATCACGTCCAATGTGTGAAGAAATAGATATTGTTACAAAATCTTTACTTCACAAAATATATAGAACCAAACAGTACTTATACACATATCGTTTTAATGTATGGAAATGCGAGAATTCGACTCAACTTGTCGTCATTACTACTGTAAGGTATTAAAACATATTATTGAATATTAAAAATAAAATATTAAATATTAATATTAAAAAAAAAAAGGTTTTCATTAGTGTAAGAGGTTAGACGGCGGACATCTTCCCCTTCCGCCGGAAACATATTTGGTTGGTTATGATTCATGATGGTGCAATACTTATCGGTTATTGAATTTATCAATACTGATTGTTCGATTTATACCGATTTCGGTTATTGCGGTCAGAAACAACTATGGTCATGAAATCGATTTCGGTAGGTAGGTACCCCGGTCACAGTCGATTTGATCGGAAGTCGATTATATTTCACGACTGATCGATCAAAAACCAAACATATTATTAACATTTGTTATTAATATATGTCAGAAGCTTAAAAAACAGTTTTTAAAATGTAAGCTTAATTATAACGAACAATATTGACCCAATGAAAAAATTGTAGGTGGTCCGGGTTCATAAGATGCGAACAATTTAGAAATTCTCAATAATTTATTTACACGGATGAGGCACTTGATTCAATCTATAATAACAATAATCTATTCGTATAGGTATGAACCTTTTGATATATATTTATATAATATATAATATCTTGTATTTGTCTATACTATCTTGTACTTGCATATACTATATAGTGTTTGGGCTAAAGACCTCATTGACACTTACTTATATAAATATAGTTAAACTTGAACAAATTCTTATTTTTATTCACATAATATTATAACTAAATACTTATTTGGTAGTTATTCTACGCATCATGTAGTTTATTATAATTTATAATTAATAATATTGATAATTAAATAATATCATTATTCATTGCACACGTATTTGTTTATATAATAATTGATAATATCTCGGTATAAAGATTTAAATTTGAGTATAATTGAAGCTATAGAAAGAGAATAATGTGTCTTACTGGGGTATCGCTTAGTACAAGGGCTAACTTACTTCTTTCGTATTACTTCCTTCGAACTATATCTTCATATCTGTCTTAACCTCCAAATTTAATTCCATTTTGTTATTTATAATATTGTTAATAATTAAATTGCGTGCAATTGCCCTTCGTCAGTTAATTCATCAACTACCTAGGTATCTATAAGTCGATAGCTTCTGCAGTTTATAACATATAATGATGTCATTTCTTTACAAAACTGACGTTTGTCGTTACTAAATTAAATAGGTAAAAATTAAACAATCTAACCTTCAAATTTGGACGAAATTAAATATTTAAACGAAGAATAACAATTTCAGTTATTTTGTTGTACCTAAGTTAAAAACATTATTAGTGAATCTTAAGAACTTGCAACTTTTAAAGTATACTATTACATATATTATATTTTATATGCAAATAGTGACATTATAAAATGCAATGTCTTCGGCAAAAAAATTAATTCAACCTATTGTATTATTGTAAAATAAATTACTTAAGGCTGATAAACCGTCTTCGTTCGGAATCGTTTTCGGTATACAATGATTTTATATCATTAAATTCAAATTTAACTCATTCATTTCAAATAAAAATCCATTACAGTGATCCACTCGAAACCCACTGCACAGCAGAGTAGTTCCCTGCACTTCCCTGCCATTTTAAAGAAGGGTTTTCGGAAAATATTATTTTGGAAATATAATCAAAACATTTTCATAATTGTGTATCAATTGCTTAAATATTTTAAATTCATTTTTTGATGTTATTTTGCTTTTTAGGTAGGTACACAATATTATTATGTGTAGTATGAAAAGTATTATTCAGATGTTATTTTACTAAATTATATTAATACTAAAACTGTTTAGCGTGGTACGTTAAGTACCTATTTAAGCTTTTATAAATTTAATTTTTATTCAATATAGACACTCGAACGGTAGTTCTTAAAAATATTAGAAAGTGTCTCCCTTTCGGACCGGCAAGACTATGGTCACATTAACACTATACCCACTAACCAGCTACGGATAAACCTATATGGTTATATACCCGCGATAACCGATCGGCAAGTACTCCGAACGAAAATAAACAGCGCACGATACCGCGGTATAGGTATAGATAGGTACTTGTACACACGTCGGATGACTGAGAGTGAAACGCGTGGGACGTTTGCCCAATTTATGTACGCCAGTTCGTTCGCATCTCTCGTGTTCACTTTATTTATTTCGCTGAATAATAATAATAATGCCTGTCCGCCATATCTGCCACTCACCTATACACTGACACTTGAAAACTCTGTATTCGTTTTGCTGTTTATTTTTTATGCACTTCACGAGCATGTTATAATAATATCGCCATTAAACCGTGATGATGGATTGGTTTATATATAGCAACATACTTTGTATATTATACCGACTGCGATGCGTACCCGCTGAACGATCTTGTGAATACACTTTAAAAATTATATTCCAAACAGACTGCAGAGCGACGCGGATAGCTATAAGTACACGAATTTAAAAGTATTTTAATTGTTTTCAAATACTGTTCAGTTGAAA